TATATATATGTATGTATGTAATATTGGTGTGCGATGTTGTTCTGTTCTGAAATGAGGAGGCAAAGTTGTTAGTTTTTTTTAATCAAATGTAAATTTTTGTCCCAGTCAAATTTTTTCTTGGTCAAGTAAACATTACTTACACCCTCTGAAAAAGGAAAAAAAAATATGTATGTATATATATATATTTTTTTTACATTACCAAAGTAATCAATATTCTATTAAGTATGTATAAGTATACAATCTCATCAAGTTTCTAAAAATTTTAAATTTATTCCAAATTAATTCAAGGCAGTAATAATTTAAGCAATATGTGACCCTGAACCACAAAACCAGTCACAAGTGTCAACTTTTTTGAAATTGAGATTTATATAATCTGAATAAATAAGCTTTCCATTTATGTTTGGTTTGTTAGGATAGGACAATGGCTGAGATACAACTATTTGAGAATCTGAGGTTGCAAAAAAAAATCTAAATATTGAGAAAATCCCCTTTAAAGTTGTCCAAATTAAGTTCTTAGCGATGCATATTACTAATAAAAAATTATGTTTTGATATATTTATGGTAAGAAATGTACAAAATATCTTGATGGAACATGATCTTTACTTAAAATCCTTATGATTTTTGGCATAAAAGAAAAATTTATAATTTTGACCCATACAATGTATTGTTGGATATTATTACAAATATACCCGTGCTACTTATGATTGGTTTTGTGGTCCAGGGTCACATATATTTTATTTGTGAACTTATGTTCAGTTATTCTTTTTAATAGTTAACTTTTGAATATTTTTTTTATTTTTCAGATCATCAGTCATCAAAGCTCTGTAAATAGCCTATTGGTTATAGACACAGAGATTTACTTTAAATGTCACCAAGCTGATTATTCACTTAAAACTAAAAACCCACAAATCATGTTTTTATGCCATTTTAAGTCTTATTTTGACATAACAAAGTAGTTATATCTAAGTGTTGTGTGAGTTGTTTACTTGCTTTTTTAAAATAGTCTTTCCATTAATGCTATTATATTGTTCATTCAGACTGATTTTTGTGGTGATAATTTGTGCGGTTTATTAGGAGTGAGTATTATTAATAGCTTTAATTAAGAGTCTTTTATATTAAAGGGATAGTTAACTCAAAAATGAAAATGTTGTCATCATTTTCATCATGACTCATTCTCAAGTTGTTCCAAGTAGAGGTCTTCTCGGGTCCTAAAATCTGTACCCGACCCGAATTGACCCGAATCACTTCTTGCCCGAACCCGACGTGCATAAATAATTTTTTCAAAAAGAAAAACCTGACCCGAGACAGACTCAATGAAATTAGACCCGAGTCCGACCCGACCCGACTGCATTTATTTTCGAACCCGACTGGACCCGAACATAAACGGCATTGACGTGTGCACAGCCTGCAGCCATGCAGCCAGTCAGGAAAATCCCGGCGTCCTGCTGACTGATTTAGCCGCTTCTCCATTACTTTAATTTATTTAACATGTATTTAATTTGGTTATTACTTTATATTATTGCCTGCCTGATGGATACAAGTTATTTCTGAGTTCGGCTTTCTCGAACCCGCTCGGGTCTCGGCTCGGACCTCGGGTTTTCGGATCCAAGTGGACATTAGTTACTTTATTTGAAGAATTTTGGTAACCAAATAGTTGACAGTAGCCATTGACTTCCAAAGTAAAGGGAAAATCCTATGGAAGTCAATGGCTACTGTCAGCTGTTTTAGTGAACTATCCCTTTAATTAATTGATTGTTATGATTATATTGAGTTGTATTCTGTGTTTTTAGGCTGCATGTATGATGGCCGGGAGTATCAGAACGGTCAGGAGTTTCCAGACCCCGATGATCGCTGCGGTCGTTGCGTGTGCAGGAATGGTCAGGTGACCGACCACAGGAGGCCATGTCCAAACCCAAGATGTAGTAACCCCATCACCCGGCCGGGCCAGTGCTGTCCAGTGTGTGATGGTACTGTATAACACTGTGTCCACATTACTAGTTACAAAACCCACAACAGCCTTGTCAATGCATTTGATACATTTTGTACTTTTATATGTTTTTTTTGTTTGTTGAGTAAATAGTAAAATATGTGTTTTGATTTTATATATATATATATATATAT